TTATTATTATTTTGATTTTCATATTTTGTGTTTATTTTTGTTTTTTAATTTATCCTCAGGGGCTGAATCCTCTCTTACTAACTCATTTTTTGTCCTCTCCCAACCTTTTTACTCCAGAAGTCCATTATGAGTCTTCTTACTGCTTCTATGTCCTAGCTTACCATTTGCCCACTTGTACTGATAATGACTTCAGGTACTGTATCACCAATTAGACTGTGAGCCACTTCCTTGAAGGTGGGGTCTCAGTCTTACCTCATTGTATTCCCCATATGGTAGATGTTGAATACGTATGTACTGATCAGCTGGTCAGCTTCGTCAGGGGATAGGAATGAGCTCCTACTCCTCCATTCTTCCACCCAAGCTACACCCTGGAAAAGGACAGAGTTTGAACAGTATTTCCTAAGGAGAATTTGGAACCCAGACAGCTCCTGTGGTGACCTCATCCCCTTGCTTCCTAGTCTTTTGCAGGGGGAAATAATGTGCTACCTAGTCGTGTCTCCTGGGACCAAGCCAGCGAGTGTGCTGTTCCAGAGCCCCGCTGGATGGGCTCCTTCACCTTGCTCCATCTCTGTCCTACCTTTAAGCCACCTTCAGGGGCCTCAACTTATTCTCTGGTTTCCTTCCTCCCTTTTGCCCAAACCTCCAGTGAGAGAAGAAGAGATTTGAGTATTAGAAAAATGGGCTGTTGAATTCCAAAGTCAGAAATAGACCACATAAATATGTATGAAGCATTAAAACCCTTCTTTGAAGTGTGATTTCCTGACTAATGGATGCTTCTGGGTTGATTTTTTTTTTTTTTTTTTTTTTTTGCACTCAGTTAAGCCCTGTTCAGACCAACTTGCTTTTTGGGTGAACTTAAGAACATTATGATTAGCGTCCATTTCTGCACTGTGTCTTTCACAGAGTGCTTTTCTGTCCGTTATTTTATTTGATACTTCCAACAATGCTGTGAAGGATGGTGAGAGTTTATTCTCATTCCATTTTGTGAATGAGGAGAACATTTGTCCAAAGTCATGTGGTGTCTAAGGGCAGCATGCTGATGAGAGGCCATGTCTTCAGCCAGTAAGATGAGAGCACGCTGTTTATCCCTGTTAGTGACAGGAAATGATTGCTAATATTGAGTATTTACAATACACCAGCTGCTGTGTTAGGCACTTTGTATATATTTTGTCATTTAATACTCTTTGGTAACCCTGAAAAGCAGGCCACTACTATTAGCCCCCCATTACACACAAGGAAACTGCAATTTAAAGAGGTTAGGTAGCCTGGTCAAGGTCACACAGCTCGTCCTGGTGGAGCTAGAGTTTGAAATCAAGTTTCCTTGATTTCATAATCCAACCTCCTAGCTACTTGACTTCCTCTTCACTTTATTGGTCAAGCCAGCATCGCTTTTAAAAGCCTGTTTCGTTTCTTATGATTTCCTGAGTTGTGATTACAAACCCCATTCTCCTCCCTGTGACTCCTATAGGTCTGGGGCTTACTGCCAAGGGCAGGAATGGGAGCTGCATGGAGAATAAGGGTAGAGCAAGTGAAGGGAACAAACACCTGCTAAGCAACTATCATATGCCCAGTGGCTGTTAGAAATCTGTTTCAGGGGCGCCTGGGTGGCGCAGTCGGTTAAGGGTCCGACTTCAGCCAGGTCACGATCTCGCGGTCCGTGAGTTCGAGCCCCGCGTCGGGCTCTGGGCTGATGGCTCAGAGCCTGGAGCCTGTTTCCGATTCTGTGTCTCCCTCTCTCTCTGCCCCTCCCCCGTTCATGCTCTGTCTCTCTCTGTCCCAAAAATAAATAAACGTTAAAAAAAAAAATTAAAAAAAAATAATTAAAAAAAAAAAAAGAAATCTGTTTCATAAGAACTCTATAAGTCTGGTATCATCATTCCCATTTAATGGAGGAGGAAACACAGATTCGGAGAATTTGTGCAAACTTGTAAGTAGAAGAGTCAAGACTTTTGCCCAAGTCTACCAGTGATGATATTCTAAGAGTGAATGAGAAATATTTCTCAGAGGCCTAAAGAGAACTTTAACCAACAGAGATGAATTTAGCCCCTGCTGGTCATAAAAGGCATTATAGTTGATATTCTGGAGCCCCATAAAGTACTCTGTGAAGGAACTCATAAGAGAACCCAAAGAGAAGAAAAACTGTGTTTTAGGCTGCATTGCTAGGCTTATATCACAATGCCAGCAGGCCTTTGACTGAAGTACATAGGAACCGTGATTTAACCAGCAAAACACACTGGTAAACATCATAATGACACACACATTTAGGAAAATGATGTTTTTAATTTTAAATGCTGTGCAGCCTTGCCTTATATAGTCAATGCTAGGAAGTTGTGGTATACCAGGAAATGGTTTACATTTTAGGCTTCAGGCAAAAATATGGAACTTGTAATTATGTCAGAGAGAGGCAAAATCTTCTAACAAGAAAAACTAAAGCTATAAAAGTCTCAGTTAGGATATGTGTCAATTAAACTGTTGTGTGGCTGAGCATTCTGCCTGAAACTTCATAGGGAATAAGCAGCTGCTAGTGACTTTTGAGTAAAACCCTCCCTTCCAAATCTTCAGTTCCCTGTTGCCAAAGTGCAGAAGCTGTGGGTGACAGGTGTTTTCCTGCTTTTTCTAAGGCCTTCCTGGTCTGAGGTGGTTTTGAGCTAGGAAGACTGGCTTGACTGGGTTTTCAGCTCAGGGGAAGACAGCTGCATGTCTGCCTCTGATACCCACAAGCCCACCTGAAGTCTGTGATGCCGATCAGAAGCCCATACGCTGCCATGAAGATACAGAGCCTCACACGTGTGACTCGCCACCTCCAGGAGCTGGGCTTTCTGCACCTTGTACGCAGCATCCCTCAGTTTCCTCCCCTACAGCCCTGGACTGACTTCTCCAGTGGGGAGCCCCTTCTGTAGGCTCTATGGGGTGAGCAGGGGAGTGAATGCCTTGCCCCAGGGCACTTGAGTGGAGGGTTAGAAGGATGAGATTGGAGTTCCTTCTTTTCTTTGTCCTTCCTCGCTCTGAGAAAGGTGGCCTAGACCACAGCAATAGTACAGAGAACTGGCTCTGTGGTCCCTGATCTGGGTGCAAATCATGATTCTGTCCCTCGTTTACTATATGACCTTGACCTCGTCATTTATCTTCTCTAAGCCTCTTTTCCATCTATCACAGAGTTGTTGTAAGGATTAAATGAGATAATATGATATTAAGTCCTTAGGAATTGATAAAGATTAGATATTATTATAACTGTTAACCTCCATTAATAGCATCAAACCTTGGGGCTAGTCAGGGCTCAGGCTCTTTACTGTTTGTGTGACAATATATTCATAACCAACGTGCTATTCCAGCCCTCTCCTGAATGCAGCAGAGTTAACTGGCTTACTTAGGCCTTGAAACAAATGGAATTTGTCAGCTAGCTGCAGACCCTCATGTGCTACTTGTTCTTGATAGCAGGGAAGGTCTGTGCATGCCTGGGAGAAGGGCCTTGTCCAAACTATTTGCTCAATAGCTGTGTTATTACACTATCACGTGCTGGTGTGGCATTATAGGAAGTATATCCTGGATGTTTATTATATGTTATTTTTAGCTGAAGTTTATTTTTCTAGGGAAATAAGAATTTCATGTTTTAGAATTGACAGTTATTCTGTACAAGTAGTTTATGTCCACAGAAATTCCAAGTTCTTATCTTTTATGTTTGGTCCCAAGGCAGTGTGGGGGTGGGGGGGCTGAACATTGGAACCCAAAAAAGCATGGTCTTAGGTGGATCAGAGCTGGGTTCAAATGTCAGCTCTGGTATGTACCAGCTCTGAAAGCCTTAATTTCCTCATGTGTGAATGCAAATAATACCTATCTAATGGGATTAAAAGAGAAAAAAAATATTGCAAAATACCTATCTCATTATGCAATGCATATATAGCCTCTCAACAAAAGTTAGTGGTTATTTTGGGCAGATACAAACATCCTGTAAATAAAATCCAGTGGCTTCTACTTTTTATTCTTTAGGACCCTGTGTTTTTTTACAGAAACATCTTAGAAACCACAAAGAAAGGTGATGAGGGACGAAGGAAACAGGACCCAGGATCCTTGTTCCCTTCAAAAGGAGCTCTGCTTTATCTGTTCTCTACGTAGGTGCTGTGCATAAGTGTTTTTAAAGGGAAGAATGCTTAAAAGTTGATTGAAGTCCAAGTTATCCACTTTTCCTTTATGGATCATCCTTTCAGTATTATATCAATTTATCAGATTGTGTACTTGATATATGTGTAGTTTATTGTACGTTAATTATACCTCAGTAAAGATGCTAAAAAATTTATTGAAAGCAGTTGGACTAACGGTGTGAAGAATCAGAGAATAAGGTGAAAATATACAGGAGGGTTAGCCATCAGCTTTCAGGCCTATTTGAATGTCCGCTATCTCAACAGCATTGGCGGGATTGTTTTTCTTGTATTCTTCAGGAAATACCCAATCCAGGCAGTCAGTCGGAAGACTGAGAAGAGATCTCTCACAGTGTTGGTAGCCCTAAAATACAGCATGGAACCATACAAATGCCAAGACAAATTGAGAAAGGTTGAGCTTTTTCTACAGAATTAAGTACCTTTGAATTGCATGCATGTTCAGCGTGGTTCTAGTTGCTAGAGGCTACTTTTTTTTCCAAGTCCATGATTTGCTATCCCCATTGGGTATGGAATTCAGTAAAACTAGCTTTTGCGCATGCCTTTATTAAAGTCTGTACCTAGATGTGTTTGGAACAAGGGTGAACAATAACTGGAAGCAGATTTACTGCAGTCTGGACTCAGTTGTTAGGCTGGCTTCTTTTTGCTGGTTTTCTGGGTTGATTAGACTTTGCTCACTGATGGGGCTTCAGGGGTCACAGCTGAGGCAGGGCCACCCTGCTCCGGACTTGGACTTAGTACAGACATTCCTGGTGGTCAAGTCATGTATTTTCTACTTTGGAAACAGGCATTGGCACAGGATTGCTGGAACAATTGCATGGGTTCTATGGTGCAGAAACCATAATGACTTCCAACAACATGGGCTAAGGTAATTTGGCTTTTTGTTCTCATCTCTAAAAGAAAGAACCCACCAAAGTTCAGAGCATCTTAAACATTTTGAAGTTGTGACATTGAGTGTGAATAATTGGTGTCTGTAGGACCCTGAGAGTGAAAGCAGGGCTTACCAGTGTTTCTCATTACTTGACAGAAAAGGACCTGGAAAAAACCCAACATTCATTTTCAACCAGGGAATAGCGAGTACTACAGAGCTGTATAGTCACTTGCATTTAAACACCCTATTTTACAAGTCCATAACTATGTTCCACAAGGCAGCATTAGTACCACAGAGACCATGGAGGAAGAGTTTGAGAGGATGACATGTATAGTTTTCATAACTACTCTTTTTCATTTCACTAAGCGCTTGGTGAAATTAAAATTCCAGCAGTATTATTCAGAGACGGCATGGGATGGTGGGTTCTCATCTCTGGCCCAGCGTTCCTCGAGCACACATAGACCAGGCATTGTACGTAGCACTGAGGCATACTGAAGGCGTAGCCTCTGCCTTCAGTGAGCCCTCAGTCTAGAGACAGAGACCCAGAAATTAACAGGAATTACAATGCAGAATGTTATGTACCGTGGAGAAAGTACCGTGGAGAATGTTATGTACCGTGGAGAATACAGCAGTATGAAGGGTCCCCCAACCCAAACTTTGAGGGTCAGATAGGGCTTTTCAAAAGGTGAGTCAAGTGAAAAACAGGGTTCTTACTACCCAATTGACCATGAACAAATCATGTTCTCTGAGCCTCTGCTTTGGTAGTAATAATATCCCTCAATGGTTGCTTATGAGGATTAAATCAGATGATATCTATCTATCTATCTATCAGATGAGATAGACATGTATATATGAAAGCACATAGCACAGTCTCTTGCTAGGGCAAAGGGAGATGTTGGTTTTCTTCCTTTCTCCTTCCCTCCTGCCTCTGTCAAGTGAGGAACGTGACTTCCAGAGCAGGCTATGCAGAGGCAACTTCTGGAGGGTTTTCTGTCACTTGGTATTTATCTTCCTGCTTCCAAATCATTAGAATCTTTTCCCTCTCATGCCAGTCTGGGCTGTGCTCATGCACAGTACAAGGTGTTGCATGTCCTGCCTGTGACACTTCATGAGGAGAAGTGGCAAGCCTCCGAGCAAGTGCTGGAGGAGAGAGAAGATGGGGAACAAACGCAGCACTGTGGGGCTGTATGGGACAGAAGAACAGTGTGGTCTTTGAGTAAGGGAGGGGCAGGCAGCAGCCACCATCTGAGAGATCGTCCTAGTCCTTTCGTGGAGAGAGGAGAGGAAAATCATCTTCTAGTAAGAAATCAAGGTTGCTTGTATCTATGTGTCTTGCAAGTGGTACAATGTTCCTACTCTTGGCCACGTCTAGCTACTATAAAAGCAAATCGGGCAACGGCTTTTGGGGGACACTCTGACTGGTCAGCAGGAACTCCCAATGCATGGAGACAGTGCAAAGAACTTCCCAACAAGCTGGGCTTGTTGTGTTTCCCCCCACCTGCCCCGTGCTTCCTTTTGTTCTTTTTTCTGCGCGCTCTTTCCTTCTGAAGATGACTTTGCTTTTTCCAAGCCCAAATCACCTTCTCATGTTGCAAATCCACCTAACCTTCAGCCTTTTTTTTCTGCACAGCTGTCACAACAAACTTCCCCTCATCTGCTACTAAATGTATCAGACACTGTGGTGCAGGCTGTGAGTTGCCGACTCATTACCCGGGGGCTTTCCAATAGAATCTGATGTTATCCAAAACTTCTCATCTGTTTCAAAGGGTACAATTTCCTGCATTCTCTGGAGGGAAATCAAACGCACTACATTTAGGAAATAGGCCGATCCTTCACAGATTTAGTAGACCTCTAGGCAATTATGGGGTGATTATTCCAAACTGAGTGTTTCCTCACCTCATTTCCTATAACAATGACTTGGGTGACCTGACTATGGGCTTTTCATCTTTCGAGTGAGAGATTGGGAAGTAAGTCACAAAAATTGAGATAAGCTGTGGTTCCTTTGATTTCTCTCTGTCCTCCTCCTAAGCATCTTCTGCCTCTCCCCAGAGGGAACCAGTTCTCTTCCCCCTACTTCTTTTGCTGTCTCCGTCTGGGATCCAAGAATCTTTTTCTTTAAGTCTGTCTTCATAATCCTTTAAATCATACATTTTATCTCCTGATGAATGTGATTCTCTTTTTAAAAATTGCTTCTTGGATTTTAGAAATTGCCCATTAAGAAAAATCACTCTCAGCTGGTTCCCGTGCTTCTGTATAGCTCTTTTCAACTCACTCCTCACCTCTGGACTGGGGTGTATTTTCCCCCACGGCCTTTGTTCCACACTCCAAGCTCATCTCTCGCTAAGTGTCTCCCTAATTCCTTATTTTTTTTTCTTTAGGTTACCTTTTTAATTTCCTGCTGTCAAACATCTGCTGTATCACCTTGCTTCCCCACTTCCTAGAAAACTTGTTTTATGAATGCTCTTTTCCCCAGGATAATGTTGCTTGCTGTGTACTGATGCAGTGCTACAATGGTTTTATTTTGCATTGACTGATTAAGCACTTTGAATAATTGTTTCAGCTCCATTACTGTGAATGTATTTGGCTTAACTCTTTTCTTTTGCCACCTTTGATTAATGTCTGCCCATTGGGACAGAGAGGAATCAGTGCATTAATTTCCCCTCGACACCGTTGAGAAATGCTCTTTTTCCTGTGCAAGAGCCCAAAGCAGCAGATGCGCGCTGCCATGCAGGAGGAGGGAGCTTGTGCTGTTGTAAAGTGAGAATGTGTGTGCTCTCAGCCAGTGTTTGCTGATGGTACTATGTGGCAGCCATCTCATAGCAGAGAGCAAATGTTAGGATTTGGGGAAAAGCAGACCGACGTATCAGATTTTAAAACGGACTGGTGAATCTCTGTTAACAGTGGATAGCTGCATGGTATTTTCTTTTTAAGCTCGTGAAACTTAACAGCTGTTTAGCGAAGCAGTATATTCATATATGTCCGTTTGACAGGTTTAATAGCAAATTTTGCGGTAAGTGGCTTTCTGAACAGGCCTCCCTGGCTTGGGCTGTAACAAGAACTGCGTTTGCAGCAAGATTCATTGAGGGTCTCTCTGCTTTCGTGTTTATGGGATGGGGGAGTCTGGCTAAAGCGAGGGAAACTGAAAGGTATGTTCCAAAGGAAATTACTAATATCTCTACCAGAGTGTTCCTTGGAACTTGTTATTAACCAGTTCAGGGAAAGATACATGGGGGAAGCACGCTGTTTAGCAATAAAAACACATTAGTACAGTCAGCTTACTGTAACCCTATATTGGTGAATGGTAATTAAATCTATATATCTCTGGCTTTATAGTTTTCTGCAGCTGACTCTCTGGAAGATTTCTGCACTTTGTCTGATTCAAGGAAGGCCATATTCTCTCCCCTGCCTCTGGAAGAGGCTGCTGTGCCTTGTAATAGCTTTTTAATATCACCAGATCGAAGACAAATGCTTCGCTGGTTTTATTGGCAGAAATAAAACACTTCCTATTACTCTTATGTTGGGGGTCCAAGTCCTAGAAAACTAGAACTTTACGAGGCTACAATCCTATTTCCTTTCATCCCTTTTTTCAGTTCTTCTGGATCATAGGGACTCAGAATTGCTAATGTCTAGGGTTACCCACTTTGTATTTGGCTCCAAAGGGTATAAACTGCATTCGTCATGATTTATCTGTGTTTTTATTGATTACATGTGCTTGTTATGGCTGCTGACTGGGCATGCGCATTTGTGGCTGAGTCGCAGATCTGAGACCCCTGTTCTCAAAAGCATCTACCCTCACGGTCAGCCTGGCATCTTTAGCTAACAAAGGGACCAAGAGCAGTCTTATAGCCTCTTTGAATTTCAGTACAGATTTTGCAAGCCAAGGATACAAAGTTTGTCTGAGGGTTCATGGTTGATTTCATTTATTGGAATGTTAATCATATTGTTTTACTTAAGCAGCATGTAAGGGAGCTTTACATTTATTTCTCTTAGTCCCATCACGATGTAGGTCAGAAGTCAGTTACATTCAGCTACATGAGCAAAGATGCCTACAAAGAACAGTAGGAATTTAGGCTATGTTGTTTTATACACTCAAGAAACTTGAAAGGAATAAAGAAATCTAGAAAAAGGATTAGTAGAGTGAGCCCAATTAATTTTTTTAGAAGGTAAACTCAAAAACTGCTCACTGATAAACAGTAAAATGTCAGGGACACAAAATGAGTCAGCCTGCTGGCTCATTGCTGATGGGATTAGGAGGGGTAAGAGAGAGAAGGTCGCTTGATATCTGTAGGGTCAGGGCATGAGTGATCCAGTGTGGCCAATGGGAGGAGAAGGGTCTACTGGTAGACCTTTCCCAGCAGGGTGTCACCCCCACAGCATCTCAGATTCCTTCCCAGAAGGGGACTGCCAGTCAGTGTACCACTTACCCTGCTCTCATCACCTCACTAACCAGCTATCTCTGTACTAACTTCCAGAACCAATGGGGAAGAAAGGAAATTTCATGTACTGACTTCTTTGCCTGGCTGCAGGATTTGCCTCTTTCTTCAGTCCTCCTCCCTTGTCTCTAGAATGCCCATGCCTTATTCAGGATGACATGTTCAATGACAGAGACATTGGAAATGAAGCCTCTTTAACCATGTCTCCTAGAAAAATAGTGATGAAGCTATTGGATACAGGGTGAATCCTAGTCTAAGTTGGTAGGAGAGGTGGGCCTGGGACACTCTGCTCCCTGTCTTAAAGTTGGACCGGTTCTGGTTCACTCCTGTATGGTTTTTCCCAGAAGTACAGATAAGTATTATGATTAAAAAAAAAAAAAAAAAAAAAGTTTAAAAAGGCGTCAGATAGGTAGCTTTTTTTTAAGCTTCTTATTTTGAAATAATTGTAGACTTACATGATGTCACAAAAATAGTACAGAGAGACCCTGTTGTGTCCTTTACCCCGCTTTCTACAATGGTAACATCTATGACTATAGTATATCAAAACCAGGAAATTGCCACTGG